TGCATGAAATAAAAATCAATTTAAAAGGGGTGGACTTGGACTATAACATAATGCATTTTGTTCTGAGATTTAGGAATATAGGTAAGCAGGGAGTCGAATCATCCAAACTATCGATGGACTAAAAAGGAGAACGGAAATTAGATATAAAGGAATTGCTGAAGCAAACAAAGTATATCTTTGATAAATAAATAAATAAAACAACGTCCAGAATGTACACTTCTGTTATGCATGGGACTTGAAAATTGTTATTGTGCTGAATAATGGGTTTACGACATGTTCAATGTAGTTTGGCAGTGATGAAAAATGTAAACAGAATAATGCAGTTGACAACTTCGGTAATTCTTCTCAATCACTTATATAAAACAAATATAGACTGCAAGAGTTTAATGAACGGTGATTTTTAATCTTAACTAGTGACAATTTTGATGTGACTCATTCTGTCAAACGTTTTCTATTGAAGAGCATTATCGAAAGTTATATTTGTTATATAATGGTTCTCGTCTTAATGCGGATTTCATTGCTGATTTAACACAACCAAAAAAAACCTAATTTTATGCTCATAAAAAATTTCAAATAGGGGAAAGATGGAGCTTTAAACACAAGATCGGTTAGTTAAATCCTACCCACTGCCTAAAATTGTGCAATCTACGGAGTGCCTCAACGCTATTCTGAAAGAAAACGCTTTGAGACGTGCACCTCAAGCAACTTGAGCGAGGAGTGCACCTCACATTGGTTGAGCGTGCCTCGCCTCAACTTTGTTGAGGTGTGCGCTTCTCACATTTAGTTATTTTTCCCGTATATTAGGTTTAAAAATGAGCCAAAGCCGCACTCTCATGTGTTAGAGCTCCATCTACCTAATCAAGCTTCCCAACATCGCCCTTATTGCTTTTGTTGTTGACGCCGCCGCTAATGCTTGCTACTTCCGGCATCACCACCTACTACTTTCACCGGAAGCATTGTCGTTTCTACTTGTTGCATTTGCTACATTAGCCACCACGATTATTACTATGGCTTTTGATTATTTATTATATTTTTTTTAAATATACGGATGTTATTTTATTGATTGGATAATACAAGTAACAGAAATTTATTATAACAAACTCATCCTACATCTTTACGTTGATATTTTATGTTAGTTTGATGACTTGATTAGTTGATATTAATATTATATTTTTATTTTGAACTATTTGTTACACTGTCATTGCCAGGTCTGAGGCCCCAGATGTGAAAAGTAGAGGTTTGTGTTAGGTACTCAACAACTAGCATAAAATTTGTCAAAAAATCATAACATTAATCTTCTTTATCATTATGTAAATGTTAAGGCATCCGTTGGAAGGGATGTGTTGTATGGCTTGAATACAGTAAAAAGTGTAAAAGAGTCGTTGAACCGACGCCCAAGGGTTCCCACATCACGGACGAATATGGGTAAAGATGTTGGTCCACGAAATTAAAACTAGGATAGGGTCATGGAATATAGGTACTCTCACAGGTAAATTAATGAAATTAGTTAATATTATGATTCACAGAAAAACTAATATCTTATGGATTAAAGAAACTGAATGAGTTAGAGAAAACGCTGAGGAAATTGATAGTTTATGTTTTAAACTTTGATACTCATGTAAGAATCACACTAGAAATGGTGTAGGTGTAAATATAGATGAGAGTTTAAAATATATTGTGGAAAAAATTAATAGAGTTGGAGATTTATATTCCTTAAGATTGTTGTTGATACTAAGATTTTTAATATTATAAGTGTTTATGCTCCCCAAGTAGTTAGGTAGGTTTTAAAAAAAAATTTTGGAATGACCTAGAAAAATTAATACAAATGATGTCGCTTGAAGAAAGCGTTTTTATTGGAGGAGATTTAAATGAGCATGTCGGTAGAGTGGTAGAAGATTTTAAAAATATTCATGGTAGCTAAGGTTTTTGAGTGATTAAAGAAGAAAGACCCATATTAGGTTTTTCGTTAGCATATCATTTTTTTTCTAATACTTTATTCAAGAAAAAAGAGGAGCATATTATTATTTATAAGAATGGATTTGATAAAACACAAATTAATTATTTTTTTATGAGAAGAAGAGATCGTCGAGAATGTAAAGATTGTAAGGTCATTCCAAGTTAGAATTTAAGTATTCAACAGCGATTATTAGTTCTGGATTTTAAAATAAAGTGTTGTAAAATAAACAATACTAAGAATCATTGTCATAAAATTAAATGGGGCCACCTAAAAAATACAAATAAAATTATTTTTGTGAGCAAACTTCAGGATTTCATGATTTGGGATATTCATAAAGAAACAAATTCTATTTTAGATAAGGTGACAAACATTATTAAACAAGTGACAAAAGATGTACTAAGAAAATCAAAAGAAAAACTTTCTATGACTAAAAATAATTTGTGGTGAAATAATAATGTGCAAGAAAAGATAAAATATAAAAATTTTGTTAAATAAATTAGTTTAAATGTAAAAGCTTAGAAAACAGGAAAAAATAAAAAATGACACGTAGAAAGTCTAAAAAAATAATATGTAACACTAAAAATTTTACTTTTAGTGATAATAGATTGGATACTAAAAATGGTGAAAAATAGATGTAAAAACTATCAAAATAAAGAGAAATGAAAAGTAAACATTCAACTCAAGTAAAGTATATTAAAGATGAAAATCAAAAAATATTTTTCTTAGAAAAAAATATTCAATATAGATTGGTGAGTTATTTTGATAAAATTTTCAATAAAATTTCTAAAAAAACTATCGACCTTAATGATTTTAATATCGTTAATAATAATAAAATTTTTCATTTTAACCGTCACATTAGTAAAAAAAAGTTGATGAGGCTTTAAAAAAATCCAACGGCAAAAAAACTATAGGACCTGATGATATCTCAATTGAAGTGTGGAAACATTTAAAAGATTTGAGAGTTTTTTTGCGTACCAAAGTTTTTAATATTATTTTAAAAACTAAAAAGATGCCTGAGGAAAGGAGGAAGAGTATTTTGGTCCCCATTTTTAAGAATAAAGGGGAAGCACAAGAGTGTACAAATATAATAGAGGATGTCATGATTTGAAATCTTGGGAGAGGGTAATTGAGCATAGCTTAAGATATACTAAAAGGTTTCTCATAATCAGTATGGATTTTTGTCGTGCGGGTCTACTTTGGAAGCTATACATTTATTGAGAGGTTTGATGGAGAAGTACAGAGAAAATAAGGAGGATCTTCAAATGATTTGTATCGATTTAGAAAAAGCTTAAGATAAGGTTCCAAGATATATCCTTCGGAGATTTTTAGAGAGAAAAGGTGTTGATATGACTTATATTCAAGTCATTAAAGTTATGTATACTAGAGTTGTTACTTGTGTTAAAACAAAAGGAAGATTGACCAAATATTTTCCTATTTCAGTTGGATTACATAAGAAATCGGCTTTAAGACCATATCTTTTTGCTTTAGTATGAATGCTCTTACCGGACATTTATTGGGGGATGTACCTTGGTGTATGTTTTCACTAATGATATCATTCTTGTGGATAAAACTAGACAAAGAGCTCGGAAAAAACTTGAATCGTGGAGGTCGATATCATTCTTGTGGATAAAACTAGAGAAAGAGCTCGGAAAAAACTTGAATCGTGGAGGTTTACTTTCGAATCTAAAGGCCTCCATTTGAGTAAAACTAAAACTGAATACATGGAATGTAAGTTTAGTAGTAGTAGTAGCAGCTCTATTGACAGAGTTGTAATTATAGGTGGTCAAATTATTAAAAGGTAGGAATGTTTTACATATCTCGGGTCTATTGTTCAAAATGATGGTGATATATATGGGTATGTTATTAGTAGAATTCAAGTTGGTTGGTTAAAGTGGAGGAATGCTTCAAGTCTATTGTCTGATAGAAAGTATCGCTTAGATTGAGAGAAAAATTTTATAAGATGGTGGTGAGACCTGCAATGTGAGACCGTGAGACCTGCAATGCTCTATGACGCAGAATGTTGGTCTTTAAAAGAGAAGCATAAAACTAAGTTAAGCGTTACCGAGATGAGAATCCTTAGCTAGATGATTGGCTTTACACTTGGAGACAATTTGTGAAATGAATATATCTGTGATAGGGTTGGTGTAGTTTCAGTGGTGGACAAAATTAGAGAGAATCACGGTTTCGTCACGTTAAACATTGACCATTTGATGATCCAATTAGAAGAGTAGAGATTTTAGATTTGACTTATGTTAAGAAAGGCATAGGTAGGCCTAGACTAGGGCATATTGTATAAAAAAACGATCTTAATTTATTAGAATTAAATGAAAATATAACACTCAATAAAATTCAATGGAGAAAAAGGATTCATGTAGCCGGCCCCACTTAGTGGGATAAAGGTTTTTTGTTGTTGTGTAGTTGTTACATGATATTTTGAGGCTTATGCAATTTGCTATTTCATATAAATGCAATTTGTCACTTTTTATTATGCTAGGATGTTAATAAGTCTTTCTTTAATATATTTATAAGTTATCATACAAATATTCTATTTTTTTACTCTTTTATTTTGATTTATGCAATTTTTAAACTACGAGGCTTGCGCCTCATACCTACTAGAGTCTTACGCCTCGCCTCACAAACAAAAAATACCTCAATACCTAATTATGTAATTTTAAACATTGATCCTATCCAGTGTACCAATTATTTCTTGCTTTCAAAATAACCCGCCTAGCATATAGTGTTATCCAGCTCACCATAAACTCATTACTTTTTCATCCTAACCATAGTCTTTCTATCTCACTAATCAATTTTAAGAATTAAACATTATAATCTAAAACAAGCATGCGTAGATATTGAATCCCCGTGAAATTGAGGGGAAAAAAAAGAAAGCTTGACATAAATATTGGAGAATTGAATATGCATCTATTTGTTAATAAGCGTATCAAACTATCTATATTTTTAATTAAAAGTAACAATATATTTCACAAAATAATGAAAGATAGAACATGTATAAGAAAATAAGTCCATGTAGAAATAATAAAACCTCTTGAAGAAGGCAACTGCAGACACTGTGGTGGAAGTGTTGAGCTTGAGTGACCCACCCCAGATTTTTTCAGAAATTACTGGGGATACTCCCCTATTTGTAGGCTTGTTCTGTTCATACATGTCAGCAGAGACCTCATCACCAATCTCAGCAAGTCTTTCACTATTTGAGGTAGCATTTACACATGAATTTCTCTCCACTAGAGATCTATTATTAAGTTCGATGGTGGGTTCATACTGTTTTCCCAAATAAATGTTTTCAAGTTCCTTCGAAGTATACGCATTGTTCTTCAGCTTCTCCTTACCCAAACAAGTTTCCTCAAAACTACTGACCATGCTACACTGCTGTTTATCTTGGGAATGCAATAAAGTCCTTAACAGATCACAGCTATATTCTGAAGGGAATCCACTCGCTTGTCTGGCACATCCAATGTGATCAACTTCTCCAAAATTGGAAACTTCTTCCATGTAAATTTCACGAAAAAGGGAAGATTTATTCTGCTGAAAGTAGGGTTGCCTTGGATTAGAAAACAGCACCTCATTGAATTTTTCATACTCTGCCAGCCGCCCTAAGAAAAAATTATCCTTATCGTAATACTGATTATTTCCAGAAAGTACTGAAGAAACACATGGATAATTTTTACCATCCAAATTCATAAAAATTTTTTTCGTTGATGTCTCTTCAAGAGTATTCATGTTGATAAAATAACTGGGTGTGAAATCAGTATTCTGCAAATGAGCACCAGGACCAGCGGAACTGAAATTCAGACGATGATCACGAAAAGGCGTGTTTCTTTCCTTCTTGTCCAACATTTTCCTAGAAAGGTAGCTCTTAACAAGAAAAAAATATGATCTAGACCTGCAGGGATGAATGCAAATCAACACACACTAAAAAATTACAGTACGATAATATAAAATCATGCCATCCTTATCATCAATAGCTTACCCAAATATTGGGAGCTAGCTCTATAAATCTTCATTCTTTACTCATTCCAGCTGAGTTTTACATGAAATGATAAATTTTCTTCGCAAAAATCTTCTTACATAAATTCAGTATAATTTCATGTCAATCCAAGACATCTCCTCCATAGCCCTTTATTTACCAATCTTATAAGGGCATCTTCTACATTTCATACACTTAATTATATTTTCTACGATTTTATTTTCAAAAAACATCCTCCGTCTATCCCTTTCATAGCCACTTCTCAATACAAGAACATATAGTAAATAGCAAAGAGACACTAAGAACACAAAAATATGCATAGCCACTAAGTTCAGCAAGAAAGGCACAAGATTTACTCAAATAACTTGATGATAGTGGTACAATTACGGTTCCACGATATACACCTAAACAAGAAGTGTGATGGCACAAAAAGACTTCATAGAATGTCCAAAAAACTAAAAGTTTTGACTGCATCCAATTTAAGAAGATATTATTATATCAAAGAATTTCTATGCCGAACAGACCATTCTCTCAGCACGCACAACCGTCAAAACAACAAACAAATAAAAATTAAATAAAAAAGCCCCAAGAAGCACCTTTATTTATAGAATAAAACAATGACCGATATCGGATCCACCTGAACAAAATGCTGACTGAATGCAAATGAAATTATGTTACCATAAACATATAATAAATTTTAATAGGTAATTATCACAACTGAATTCAACAGAAAGACAAGCAAGCGGAAAAAAAAGAGCAATAAATTAAACTGAAAGATCTGTAAACATTTTAATGATGTTAAATCTGTCAGCAAAAGCACAAATAGTTATATTTGGACGGTTTTCATATCATATGTGTACTAAATGATAAATTTCAACTTAATTATAACGCGAGTAATGCAAATGTATTGAAAGGCATTCATTTTATCTAATAGGTGCTCTAAAACATCAAAATCAAATCTTAATGTGCGCATTCCAATAAGCATTCAACTACTTAAAAAAAATGTGACTACTTTAAAGTGTGTGGCTATTTCAAACCAACTTGAATTCTTAAGACAAACAGACACCCTAGATTCCTTTCTATGAGGTATTACAATTGTAGCTGAATTATCATTTCACATCTTTCCTTGCAGATGAAACAATAACCTTATTAAATGGGAGAGAGTATTATTTAATAAAGCGCCTGGAATTTTTTCGGTTTTGAGGCTATTTTTGGTCTTAGTATCAACAATGGTAAAAGAGAATTTGAGGTTCCAAAGATTTTCATCTTGCAGATTTATTTAATCACTCAGATCACTGGATTCACTAATCAACAACTTCCTCTAAATATCCGACATCTTTAAAGATTTGAAATGAAGTTCATTACATGATGAGCACTTTAAAAAGATTCAAGAAAGAATCACTGGCTTCAAAAATAGGGTATTGTCTCCAGCTGACAGAGAAACAAATGCTTGAACTTTTCCTGCAGATTGTGAAGCTCGTTATGGCTTGAATAAACCATCACATGATGTCCCATTTTGTTTGAAAAGAGCTTGCCCGTAGGATTCTTGTAGAAGCCGAGCTAGCAAAGACATGATTAGAGTATTTAGCAAAAAAAAACATTTCTATTGTAATACCCTTTTAAAAACAAAAAAAGAAAATGGCTTAAAGTGGATCAGTCAGAAATGTCGAAATCCAATAACATCACGTTGCCATGAATTGGGATTAGTGTAGAAGGGATGACTGGGTACGGGAAAAAAAAAGAGAGAAAGACAATGTGAGAAAGTGGAACAGGCCGAGGCAAATAAAGAATAAGATGAGTAAGAATGTCATCAGTGATGAGAGGGGAAGCATGTGACAAAAGGGTGGCAAACACTGATGTGAACGAACTGGAAGAGAAAGATGTCATCAGTGATGAGCTCAAGTGTTCCAAGTAAGAATGCCCTAATAATGCAAATTATTTAAGGCAAGGATCCTTTGTTCCCAATATACAAGATAGACGTACAAAAACATGCACAAAAGATTATATTCATTCTCTTGGACAAAATTTCAACTGCATTGATGAAAAATTGTAAAACAAAAACTTTGGATGATATGACAATCAACCAAGTAAAAAAACCAGGATCGATAGAAATCAACAGTAACCAAAAATTCATACCACTATTGAAAATTCAAAATTATAATAGATTCGGAAAATATTGAATCACTCGAGCAAAACAACCACTAATTTCAAGCTCAGATAAGAAAGAAAAAGATCACAAAATAAAGAAATACAAGTCTCGGGCCAATATAACGAGAAGACTTTCCCAAAAAATATGCAGTTGCTACTTGAGTACACTAAAATAATTCACATTCAATCAACTCCAAAGCATAAAAATAAAACAAAAAACTCAAAGAAAATATTATGAAAAATGTGGGATTATGTTTTTGATTATTTTTGGGGTGAGAATAAATGAGAGGAAAACTAAGAAAAAAAGGGGGGAAATATACTATTAGCTCAACAAGCAATAATACAGTAAAGCAGAGTCTGTGATCATCTAAAAAAGTGGAACCCCTAGCTATGCTCATGATCCCCATGTTTTATATAGAGATTCAAAGTGCACTATAAAAATGACTAAAAAATATGTTATAAATGTAATAAAGTACAAAGTAGAGTACAAATAACATGTAAAATAAGGACTATGACTCAAACTGATAGTAAACCGTCAGACTCAGAGAAGTCTCTAGCTCTTCAAGTGATGGTCGACAATTAGCTCTCCGAGTATAACTGGAGGTCTGAATTGAATTGATCCGGTGAGTCCCTTAGTAGCGTTTATTCTTCTAGAGTTGTGGAACTATCCTCATAATCGGCTAATGAGTTTTCCTTGATCCAATGTTTTGCCTTTAATTCGACTGGCAAGTTCTTTTGTGATTTAATTGGCATGTCCTACTAGGGCCCAACAAGAGATTCCATCTTCATATCACAGTAAATGTCCTATAGAACATGCAGACAAGTCCATCTTAAACTCAATTAGCGAATGCTTGTTCTTCTATTTTACTAAATCGAGTTTCCTCTTAAAATATACATTTAGTTCACATATCTCTTATATATTTGAATGAACGTTGAGAAATGAACAAGATAATGTAGAAAATGTGATTTTTATATATAAATGAAGCCAATATTTAGCCTGCTTCTCTGAACAAATTCCATGCTTTCTCGTGCTAAGTAAATTGTTTTAATCCTGAAAAATATTGATTTCGAGCAATAATTGGAGTTTAATGTACATTAAAAGAGTAGGTGACTAAATTTAAGGAATGAAATATTGTCATAGATATGATCTTTTTGGCAATCCACATTAGCATATCCTTGCCTTGTTATAAATGGAACCTCTGGTTTTGTCAGAAAAAAAAAATATTTATAAGGCTCTGGAATCTTTATGTTCTCTCGCTATTATAGCTCTGAAAATATAAAAAATAAAAAATTTCACCAACTAAGCTTGACATTTCTGAGATGCTTTGATAGAAAACATCAAGAAAATGTGGAAGCCAAAAAGTTCTAAGAGTTAGAAGAAGACTAAGAAACTTGTTGAAACAAGTAAAAAGAGAGGGGTGATCGCCCCTTTTGAGGTGTCTATAGCATGATCATCATCAGCAAGTCCCCCCAAATAGTAGTCACCCCGGAGCACATAATGAGGCTCCTCTAGTGTTGGATAATATAAAATTTGTTTTATAATTTTTTTTAGCCGGCTAATTAATATCATGATAGTTTTTGTTTTTAACCAAGCCCCAATAACCATAGTAATCTCGAAGGATGGAGTTTCCCTAAAGGCGGAGGGGCCAAAAGGCAAAATATTTATAGTTAAAAAAAGTAAAGAATCCTTCATTTGTGAATCTGAACGTATTTTTTATCCGGTTCGTTTAATTAAAATGATTTATATAATATCATTTAGTGAGTGAATTTTTAAGAGACGATAAGGAACAGGCTAAAGCCAAAAAGGAAAAGATTTATAGTTAAAAGAATATAATCCTTCATTTGTGAATCTGAATGTATTTTTTACCCGATTTTTTCCCTAAAATGATTTATATAATGTCATTTAGTGAGTGTACTTTTAGGAGATGATAAGGGTTATGCAAGTCAATCATGTTCAAGCTTCAATGAGTTCTTGGGCCCATGACATGGGAAGGCAACTTGAGTCTCTCTTCTCATATGGCGAGAAGGCAAGTGCTCCTGCCACATTGAGAGAAGGGGACGATGTTAGCTTGTCGAGGCCACTAAGGAGACTAAAGTAGGTGAATGTCAAGTTATCATTGTATCTCGCACCTCCAATAGAGGGTCTTGAAGGTGAGCGGACTCCCAAACTTCTTGCTAGAGCATAGGTGTCACACTAGAGCAAATCGACCAAGTTGTTGACAAGGATCAAAAAAATAATAGTCGTGATAGAAAATAAGTCATCCCTAATAATCCAGCAAGAAATATTGCCACCAGCAAGAGGCAATTTTTAAATTTAACTTTCTTTTAGCAATGAAAATGTAGATGGCATAGATAGAGGCACTGCGAAGGGTGGGTGCCTTTAAGAGTTGCCTAATTTTTACGAGTAAAGTCATCAACAACATTGTCATAGAGCTTCAAGAGTTAAGGGTTGAAATCATCATTCATTAGAGGACTCTAAAGTTTCTTAATCAAATTAATTCTTGGCTAGAGAAGAGTTCATTCTATAATATTTGGCAAGGAGCAAACGCTTGCCCGCTAATGTTCTCAAAGACCCCATTTTTAATTTTTTTAATGGTATACCTATAAAAGATTTTGGTGAAATGCCAAATTGACCATGAAGTTTTAATCTTTATTTATCTTTGAAAAGGCTTTGTAATAGTAATGTAATATACAAGTATTCTTTTTTCATATACAACTAACATACATGAATTCTTTGTATTTTATTTGAAAGTGTGATATAAATATTTATTCATCTTTGAAGAAACATAATCACTACTCATATTTGGCATCATGCCTACCCAAATTTTGTTGAACTCCATCACAAGCATGGTTTCCTTTATTTTCTATCTGCAAAAGAAGGAAGTTCAATAGAAGCTTTCCAATCAAACCACATAAAGATGTTCAGACTACAGAACAAAATAAATAATTGCAAGAGGTGATTTTGCTTTCTGAAGGGTTTTCGAACTAGGCCAATCAAGACCAAGCTAACCATGATTCATAACCTCCATGCTCGATCTCATGGAGGCGAGAAGGTTCTTTTGAGAATGTTAAGAGATACATGCGTTGATTTCTTATTCAATCTTTTTGTCTTTTATATAATTAGTAGTTTATGCGAGTCATAACTTGCACTTTTTTTCATTTTTATGGATCCCAGTGCATATTTGATCTCAGAAGACCCTAAGATGTTGAAAAATTTTAGAGGGGAGCTTTAAAAAACAAAACCTAACGAAGACGGACAAGTACCGAGGTCAAATTTATGGCTTCAAGCAACAAGCAACAAAAGTAGCTCCGTGAAGGCGGCGCCCTGATCTTCTAAGATGGGTGAGTCTCTTGAATCGAGGGCCCTCCTCTCTTGGTGATCCCTAACCACTCCTCCCAAAAAAGTCCCAACAAAAGCTGCCCTAACTATCAAGCCAACTAAAGGATTGGCAGGTTGGCATTATTATATAAAGTTGGTGACCAAAGGAGTTGAGGAGAGAGAGAAGTGGACAGTGATCCACAAGGAAAAAGGTGGTCAAGCGACCAAAAAAAACATAAAAATAAAAAGGATAAGCTCACCTTGGTAGACCGAGGAAGGCCTATGAGTTAGATGAGGATTCCTATTTGGGGTGAGCCGAGCATAATACTGATCTTATTCGACCCGATGACAACCTTACTATAAACGAGCTTGACATTGCAACTTTCTTCGAGAAAACACATAAGGAGATTAATCTTATTCACCACATAAGTTGAAGCTCGTAGTGAAGTCTATAATCATCCATTGATAGCATGTATGTAACTTGGCGAACTGCTACAACAATCAAACCAAATGTTAAAAGATCAACAATAAGTTAACAAATGTAATATAAATTCATCCATGAAAAGGGAAAAGATAGATAAGCAGTCAATGGTAAAACATAGTGAAGAATTAAAAAGACCTATCTTGAAAAAGGACTAGGTCATTGCAATGACATCTTTAAAAGCTGAGAAGAGGTAACAAGATGCCGACATTATGCTCTAAGAGGAAGCCTTGCTATGGAGCCAAATAAAGAAAATGGGGGATGAGCTTTTAAGTTACCCAACAAAAATGAGTAAGCTTAAAGTCCCTCGAAAAGTTTTTAATTCTTTGTCTACGATGCTTACATACATATCAAACTACTCAATAATTCAAGAAGGGTTTGCCAGAATAAATTGACTGAGAAGCAATTGTTCCCAACAATCTAAGTAGACTAAGAGACTTTTTATGTGGTGACTAAGAATTCGTCAAAATCAAATGGGGGGGAAGACAACTTAACATGTATTTTTCTTTTCTTTGTTCTTGAATCTCCCATAAAAACACGTGTTAAAAAAAATTATACCTTTGACGTCTCTCTTGTGCAATCTTTTTGTAATGCTAGTAAGTCGGGTTTAGCTATTGAGTATAAAAATTTCTTAAGTAAAATTAACAAATAAACCCTTTAAGCTAATTAGAAAATTTCAGATCTTCTGATAGGCTCTTAGGCTGTGAATGAAGTTTGATTAGGCTCTTAGGTTGCAGATTTTAGGTTGAATACTTGTAATGGCGTCTGAAATATTAATGAAAAAACAAAAATCATTAGTTGTTTGTAAGACTGGTTTATAGTATTTTGCTTTTAGTTTAATTTTGTTATGAAAGAAATATAAGGGTTTCACTTCTTTAGTTCATTAGATTCACTTTTTTCTATGTATTAAAAGTCTAGGTGAGAAAAAAGTACGTCAAACTTTTTAAGCTCAAACTCACCTTTGTCCGAGGCCATGGCTCTCCTTATCGATTTTGCTTTGGCTAAGATCCCATGGTCTTTTCTTCCTAAGTTGGCAAGTTCCTCCCTTGTTCGCATAGTTCTAATTAGAAAAAGTGACTTTTTAATATCAACCTAAAGCTAACTCCTACTTGTTAGCTTAGGTCAATCATTGGAGCTATGTCATCGCACTCTTCTAGTTTAGTCTTTACCCACTTTGAACATGTCATATGGGAGCAAGTGCACTAACTGTTATTAGTCAACATGGAGAATATATTGAAAATATTTGTTTTAATTTTGGGCCAAAATCAATTGCAACGAAAAAAATAAGAATTTCTGCTCTATAGAGATAATAAATAACCTTTTTTTTTCCTTGGATTGTAACTCGAGGCAAAAAAGTAGTATGCCAATCTTACTAAGTTCGAACTGTCCTTCATTTAAGGGCAATAGATCTCTATTAGAGAGTAGTTATCACAACTTGACAACTTTACTTAAGCCAAAATATAATGATCTTTAATTTCTAAGTTGACCAACATTCGTTTTACTAATCAAATTATAATTAGAAAAAAAGTTTATTCATGCATCAACCTATATTTCTACGTTGAAGTTTGTCAAACTTAGGTCTAGTGCGCTTATCAAAAATTCGTTTAAGTTTCTCATTTATTTTTCATTCAAGAACTCGCTTGTATTGGGCAAGGTCCCCAAGTTTCATTGATTGAATAAATTCCCTAATTGTCTTTTAGAGCTCATCCTGAGACAATTAGTTTGTTTTAATGAACCATTCTTATAAAACTTTATTTATTTGTTAAGGTTTCTTTTGGATAAAATGAAATGTACTAGAATGAAAACAAAAAATGAATCTCAAGGAAAGAAGGTTTGGACAACATTTCCTATGCAGGTCTAAAGTCAATATGCTCCTAAACTAACTTATTATTTGATAATGTATGGCCAAGTTTATCCAAATTTGAAGAGTATGATTTGATGAGACACCACAGGCTTCCTTCAAAACTAAGTTTCCTGCATAAAATATCTTCTTCTAAAACGTTGAAATTGTAATATTTGCTTGCCCTCCTCTTCTTCATGCTTCATCACATATTAAATTCTATGCAACTCTAGTAGGTCACTTACAACTTCTAATAATTCATTCAATACTTGACTTTCACCAAATTCACCTTCTTCATAAATATAAGTGGTTGCAAACGTTTGGCAATGTAAGCTATGTTCAATCAGTAGTGCTTCAGTTTCATGTGATAGCATGAAAGGTTTTGTTGAGTCGCAAATTATGGAGTCATCCAGGTGAGGTGTTTTCGTTGAGTTGCTAATTAAAGAGTCATCCAAGTGCCCATAGAACTGAGGGCAAGACATTCACACATTGCCTTTAGCACTTTCAATCTTCTTGCTAAACAAATTCAGAATTTTCTTTTTGGCCGCTTCAACTTGACCATTTGTTTTTAGATAATGTACTAAGGTGGACTTGATGTGAATTCCCAATCTTTAACAAAATCTTTGAGAGTCTTCTAAGATAACTGTGGAATATTATAGGTGATGATCACAAGGGCACTCCGCATTAAAAAATATGTCGATCAATATAGAATTTCAAATAATCTCTACAGCCATCTCAGTAAAATCCTTAGACTATCCATTTTGTAAAATGGTCGATCACGACGATTATGAATTTCTATTGTCCAATGGTTGATAATAACAAGTTAATAAGTACATCCCCTAAAAGGCGAATGGGCACGTACTTGAAATCAGATGTAGTTTGTGTGCTGTTTAAAGTGCCATATAAATGGGTTTTTAGCATGTAGGGATCACTTGGAAAAGTTCTCGGTATCTTTACAACTTCTCCAAACCTAAGGTCATGTGCAAATCATAATGTATTAGCAAATAAGTGCAGCATTGACCTTGAACTTCCTAGATCTTTCATGCTAGCAAAAATGATACCTATCTTCATTTTTTTTATGAAACTGCAGCATTGACCTTGAATTTCCTAGGGTCTTTCATGCTAGGCAAAATTATGACTATCTTCATTTTTTTATGAGAGGGCCAACCCAAATCGATCAATTGGGAACTTGGCTTCCATGATTTCTTCTTTGTCAATTATGGGCCATGTAAGCTCAATAGAAGGTATCCAATCCAAGTTACCCATTCATGGCAAGCATGTCTGCGAGTTAATTTGCGCTCTAGTAATTTGTTCACCTTTGTAGTACTCGAATTTGTCAATTTATATCTCAATTTTGAAGAAATATAGAAGCAATGTGTCTTCCCTTGCGTTGATAGTCCTTTGATTTGATGGATGCAATAAGAATCCAAATTACACTCGTAAATATTTGGCTCCAACTCCAACAATGAATCTTAAGATGGCTATTAGAGCTTCATATAAAAGTTAATTATTTATAATTAGGAGCTTAATCCGTGCCCATTGGTTAATAAAACTATGGGGCCCTTCAAAACCATTTAAACTCCAAAACCCTAGTCACTTAAAATGCCATCAATGGTGTCTAGAGTAAGTCATCCTCACTAGACGCCTCCTCTTCCGCTAATCCAATTGTGAATTCAGCCAACAAATTGGCCAAGGCTTATGTTCTGATAAATGTCATCGGCATGAACAAAATTTGAAATTGATACCAGAGTTAACTCAAACCAAAACTCAAAAGTGACAAATTTTATTATTGAATTATAACATGAGTACAAGGATGACACCTAGCAAGTAAAAGTGCATAAACAGTGACACGAATACATGAACAACAAGCAAAACAACAGTAAAACAGTAAACAGAAAAAGAACAGTGTTGAAAATAGACTAGTACATGTCAGAAGCCTGAACAACGTCAGCGGGCAGTTGGAGAGTCACCGGAGAGATCGAGGAAGAGCTCACAGCGGCTAGGCGGACGTCGAAGTGACCGGCGGTGACTGGAGTGGTGCTGGGAGAACCTGGAGGGCCTACAATTCACGAGAGGTGGCGCACGGTGAGGGTGATAGTGATCGTGGGTATCTCATTATCTGGGCCAATACCCTCTAGGAGGACCAATGCTAGTGCGATCGAGGCATTGCGAGCTAACTGTAGGAAGGTGGCCTGTGAAATTAATGTGTCTTTGTGTCGATCGTGGGTAGCTCATCTTTTACAAGTAATAACATAATGTGTTTTCCATCCTTCTTGAATTTGTAGGTGTATTTGAAGCCGTAGTGTTGCGTTTTTCGATCGAATTGTCATGGTCGTCCCAAAAGAATGTGACATGCATCCATTAAGACGACATCACACCAACCTTGTTTTTATAGTTGATTGTCGATGGAGAATTCGACTAAGCATTGTCGATCGTCGCGAATCTTGTTCCCCTTTTTGAGCCAAGTGAGAGAGTAATATCGTGTGGTTTTTGGGTAGCTAAGTCTAACTCTGGACAATTATGGTGGATACGACGTTTTCGCAACTACTTCCATCGATGATTAAACAGCAGATTTTGCCTTTGGTAGTGTATGTAGCACGAAAGATGTGTGTCATAGCCATGAAGGATCTCTGTCGAGCTCGGATTGAAGGATCTTCTATATGACCAATAGTTCGCCTTTGTCTCCGAGGAGGGGCAATGCTTCTTCTAAACAATCTTCAAATTGAGCCCCACCATAATGACGTGTTTTTCTTTAGTTTGATCGCGGTGAGCTTGAGCTTAATCCGTTTATCCTCAGGTACCTCCTCGTAATTAAAGATTTGTTCGATCTCTTGCAACCAGTTGATGAGATCATCGAGGTCCATGCCCCTGTCGAATTCCAAAAGGTCCATTTTCATGTCGAAATCACGATGGGTGTCGAACATGAGCTCCTCGTGTGGTCTCATGTGATAGTGAATGCCAAAGCTGAGTGGACAATATTCGCCATTATTGACGTCATCGCAGTGAAACCGATGGGTGTCGAACATGAGCTCCTCGTGTGGTCTCCTGTGATAGTGAATGCCAAAGCTGAGTAGACAATATTCGCCATTATTGACGTCATCGCGGTGAAATGGATTTAAGTCGTCGTTGTGTTCTCCTCTTCAACTCTAAATGTCCCGATCGAGAGTA